CGGCGGACTGATATATGAGAAAATAGTCCCTCAACATCCGGCAGCTCAAGTGATGCAAGGTTAGTTTTATTTCAAACATTATTCTATGAACACAAACATTTACATAGACAGTCTGGTGTAATAATAGATTTGTTTCGGGTGTTTTGTGGAGTGGGTAAGACTGTTTTTAGTGGCAGGATAACTATGACTATATTTAAAAAGTGTCTCCACACGTCTCCAACACTCTGGCTCACTAGGAAATGAGGTCCTATGTCCAAAATTTCTGGACTGTCCCTTTAAAGTTCACAAGACACAACTGTGTATAATATAAGACCATTAAAATTAGGACACCTATTTATAACTGGTCAAAGACAAAGCTCGAGTTCCAACATTTCATTGAAATGGCAGAAGTGACTTGTGTTGTATATGATCTGTAGTTATCCTCCCACTCACAGAGCTCACATACAGACACACTGCAGAACTGAGGGAAAAAAAATGTCCCCGTGACATGTTCCACAGCAGAGGATGTGCAGGAGATTGTGGCCTCACACCTCAGATTGCAATGAAGTCATTATGGACACGGCTCACCTGGGAATGATGTTTTCACATGTATGTGGGACAAGAATAAAGAAGGGACAAAGGTCAGCATGGAGCAAGCTGTGTGAAGAAATGTGATACCGGATACAAAGACAGATTATATTAAAACTAGTGTTTGGAACGTAGCAATAAGCAGCTTTGTGGTGGAAGATCTAACACCTGTTTATCTGCTTGGAAATGTGATTATTTTGTCTGGCATTATAGTACGGCATTAAAGTTTTATATTTCTATGGAGACAGGCTAGTGACGTCAACATACCAAGGTACAGACTAAACCAGGACTAAACCTGGACTAAAACCAGGGCTAAAACCAGGACTAAAAACCAGGACTAAAACCAGGACTAAAACCAGGACTAAAACCACTAAAACCTGGACTAAAACCAGGACTAAAACCAGGGCTAAACCAGAACTAAACCAGGACTAAACCTAAACTAAACTAGAACTAAACCAGAACTAAACCAGGACTAAACTAGAACTAAACCAGGACTAAACCTGGACTAAACCTAAGCTAAACTAGAACTAAACCTGGACTAAACCATTACTAAACCAGGACTAAAACCAGGACTAAAACCAGGACTAAACTAGGACTAAACCAGACTAAACCAGGACTAAACCAGACTAAATCAGGGCTCAAACCAGGACTAAACCAGGACTAAAACCAGGGCTAAACCAGAACTAAACCAGGACTAAACCTAAACTAAAAACTAAACCAGAACTAAACCAGGACTAAACTAGAACTAAACCAGGACTAAACCTAAGGACTAAACTAGAACTAAACCAGGACTAAACCAAACTAAAACTAGGACTAAACCAGGACTAAACCAGACTAAACCAGGAGGACTAAAACCAGGACTAAAACCAGGACTAAAGGAGGACTAAAACCAGGGCTAAACCAGACTAAACTAAACCAGGACTAAACCAGGACTAAAACCAGGGCTAAACCAGAACTAAACCAGAACTAAAACCAGGGCTAAACCAGAACTAAACCAGGACTAAACTAGAACTAAACCAGGACTAAACCTAAACTAAACTAGAACTAAACCAGGACTAAACCTGGACTAAACCTAAGCTAAACTAGAACTAAACCAGGACTAAACCAGGACTAAACCTGGACTAAACCAGGACTAAACTAAAAACCAGGACTAAAACCAGGACTAAAAACCAGACTAAAACCAGGACTAAACTAGGACTAAACCAGACTAAACCAGGACTAAACCAGGACTAAACCAGACTAAATCAGGGCTCAAACCAGGACTAAACCAGGACTAAACCAGGACTAAAACCAGGACTAAACCAGAACTAAACCAGGACTAAAACCAGGACTAAACCAGGACTAAACCAGACTAAACCAGGACTACATTAGAACTAAACCAGGACGAAACCAGGACTAAACCAGGACTAAACCAGGACTAAAACCAGGACTAAATCAGGACTAAACTGGGACTAAACCAAACTAAACCAGGACTACATTAGAACTAAACCAAGACTAAACGAGGACTACATTTGAACTAAACCAGGATTAAACCAGGACTAAACAAGAACTAAACCAGGACTAAACCATGTCAAGTTACAATACCTTTTACTTACGTACAGTACTTTACTACTTTTACTTCATTACGTTCTATGAATGATAATATTAATTAATTAGGATTCATGGAATACATAATTAAGTGAGGAAGAACTTTGGACCAATGCAAACAGTTTTAAATGTACTAGCTCTGATTTCCACATTTTTAAAACAATAAAAATGAGAAATCAAAACCAACACCAAAATGACCATAAAATTCCAAAGTGATCAGAGTTTTAATTATTTATTGATTTATTAGTGAAATGTCAGTAACCTTAATTACTGGTGTGCGCTTTAACAAGGTCTCCCCGTGTGCCTCTCTGACCCTTTGTTACTAAAGAGCCATGTACATTATTCTCTATAGTCTGCTACTCTTAATGTTTCCACGGCAACCGCACACCCCAGAGCACTCCAATACAAATGTGTATTTAATCATTTCATATGCACATTTACATCTTAAATGTCAAAACAAGTGTATTTTTAACTCTGGACTCAAGGAAACCACTGGAATCAGACTTTCTTTGGACAAAAATGAGTTCCCAAAATATTGCGTATAACATGGAACACCTGCAATATTTTCATGACTTTTTTCCCCATTCAAAAGATATAATATTTTGAATTGTTAATCGCTATGGCAACAGGTGTAATTGTCCATGGATATGTTGAGTCTTGCCTGTTTTTATTTCATTTCATTGTTTAAAGGTTGTATGGAGGATTTTTTTTTTTGTTTCAAAATGTCAGTGAAAGATTAAAATACCATTACAGAGACGCAGCAGCTTTGTAATTATGATGATCAAAAAAAAAAAGAACGAAAATCTATCAACTGTGGACGTAGTGAGGCCAGATAAACATCAGCCAATAGAAAACGAGGCTCCCTCATTTTCTATTGGCTGTTAGGTTGTCAATCAAACTCCCTAGTATAACTGACTCGTCGGAGCGTCGGGAATTATGTGGTTTACGCAGCGGTTCTTAGAGACATTTTCGAACTGTCGCTTAAACCTCGCATTTCGCACAAAGTTTGTCGCGACGGCGGACGAGAATCCACGACCGGTTCGCCGCAAAAGAAAGTCTGTTTTTGAGGTCGCTGAAAGAAGAAGAGAAGTGGAAAAGTAGCAAAGCCAAACTGAGGTGATTCTTGGAGATCTCGTCCAGCGATGGCACGACCGAAGCAGACGAAGGGTCTAAAAACTGACGCGTCTGTCGCTGAATTACTTCTAGACAGGAAACTTCAACAGTAATTCTGAATGCGCACAAGGACGGTCGCTGTATTTCTCTTCCCTTAAAAAAATCCTCTTTACAACCTTTAATTATCAACTTTTTTATGGTTCCGCTCTGAGTAAGCAAGTGACGTACTGAAATTATTTTGGACACTGCAAAAATGTATTTAGGTTAAATTTAATTGAATCATTTATTATGTGTATAAAAAGAAATGGAATATATGACTAGTGACAAAAATATGAATGTAGGTTATTCATATTGAAAATGCATTAAATTTTGTTCATGCCAAATTTTCACATCTGAAAACGCTAGACCAAACTACAACTAAAAAGAAACTAAATCAATTCTAAACCAGAGCCAAGTCATGACTAAACCAAGTCTAAATATAGTGGGATTAAACCAGATTACAGGATTAAACTCAAACAAACCAAGAATAAATAAAACAGGATGAAAAATAGATTTAAACCTTGTCCAAAATAGATGGATTAAAACAGCTGTCCGGTTTTAATAAACTGTAACACATTTTAGGACTGAAAATAAACCAAACCAGGACTAAACAAGGACTAAACAAGGACTAAACCAAGACTAAACCAAGACTAAACCAAGACTAAACCAGGACTAAACCAGACTACTAAACCAGAGACTAAACCAGGACTAAACCAGGACTAAACCTAAACGGACTAAACCAAGACTAAACCAGGACTAAACCTAGGACTAAACCAAGACTAAACCAGGACTAAACTAGGACTAAACCAGGACTGAACTAGAACTAAACCAAGACTAAACCAGGACTAAACTAAGACTAAACCAAGACTAAACCAAGACTAAACTAGGACTAAACCAAGACTAAACCAGGACTAAACCAGGGATGAACTAGGATTAAACCAAGAATAAACTAGGACTAAACTAGGACTAAACCAGAACTAAACCAAGACTAAACCAGGACTAAACTAGGAATAAACCAAGACTAAACTAGGACTAAACCAGAACTAAACCAAGACTAAACCAGGACTAAACTAGAACTAAACTAGGAATAAACCAAGACTAAACTAGGACTAAACCAAGACTAAACTAGGACTAAACCAAGACTAAACTAGGACTAAACCAGGACTCAACCAGGGATGAACTAGGACTAATTTTGGACTAAACAGGACTAAACCAAGACTAAACCAAGACTAAAATAGGACTAAACCAGGACTAAACCAGGACTAAACCAAGACTAAACCAGGACTAAACCAGGACTAAACCAGGACTAAACCAAGACTAAACCAAGACTAAAATAGGACTAAACCAAGACTAAACCAGGACTAAACCAGGACTAAAACCAGGGCTAAACCAGAAATAATCTAGGATTAAACTAGGACTAAACAGGACTAAATTATGACTAAACCAGGACTAACCCAAAACTGAACCAGGGCTGAAGTAGGACAAATCCAGGACTAAACCAGGACTAAACTAATCTAGGACTAAACCAGGACTAAACTAATCTAGGAGTAAATCAGGACTAAATTCGAATTTTTTTAAAGACAATAATAACTTAACAACTTGCTTTAAAATGAAGAAAATCATAACCACCAAGAAAAGCAACATTTGTGGGACCAACTTCACAACAAATGTTAAAAAATACAAAATCTACTCACGAGTCCCGTCAAAGTGGTTGGCGATGTTGTCCAGGAACATATTTTGCGGAGCGAGGAGACCCTTCATCACTGGCATCTTGTATTTAAAGTTTTACAAATTGTCCAAATAATGATAAAAAAAAATGAGAATTCAAAACTAAAATGCGTTTAAACGATCAGAAGCTCGCATTGGTTTTGCAGACAGAGGCTCACAGTTGTTCCAGAGGATGCATGCAGCTCTGAGCATCTCTCCTCTCACCGTAGTTCCCGCCTCCCTCCATCTCTCCTCCTCCTCCTCTATTCCTCCATCTCTCTCTCCTTTGTCTCTCCTCCATCTCTCCATCCTCCCCCTCTTTCTTTCTCTCTCTCTCACCCCTCCCCCATTTTCTAATCAAAACTGCCGTTCACTGTGTCACTTCACTTTCTAAAACACTCGGGTACCCACGGGTTTCAGAATGATGAAAAGTTAGGACTGTTGCCATGGCGATTGAAATGTGATTTAATATAATTTTAATGGGAAAAAGCCCTCGGGATGTTGCATGTAACAGGAAGCTGAAACTCATGAATAGAAAATAAATGTGTCGAGATGGCGTCTTGAAAAGAAGTGAATTAAAGATCGGTCAAACATGCTTGAAAAAATAAATGATGAAAAGAAACAGCACTAACATCGCCATGGAGACAAGACGTCGGCTGGAAAGTTACAGTGTGGCTTTAAAACTAATGAATGTGTTGATATTTAAGATACGTTAAAAAAAAAAATTCTCATCAACTTTTACCTGTGAAAACTTCAGACCAAACTAGGACTAAAAAGAAACAAAACCAGGTCTAAACCAAGACTCGAGTCATGAGGGGACCAGGACTAAACCAGGACTAAACCAGGACTAAACCAGGACTAAACCAGGACTAAACCAAGACTAAACCAGGACTAAACCAGGACTAAACCAAGACTAAACCAGGACTAAAACAAGACTAAACCAAGGACTAAACCAGGACTAAACCAGGACTAAACCAGGACTAAACGTTGTAAAAAGAAAATCAGGATTAAAACAGCTGTCCTTTAAATTTAATTAATACAAACTCCAAAAATTAGGATTATAAACATTTAAATAAACCAAGACTAAATAAACCAGGATAAAAAATAGATCTAAACATTGTCAAACTGGGATTTAACAGTAAACCAAGACTAAACCAGGACTAAACAAGGACTAAACCAGGACTAAACCAAGACTAAACCAGGACTAAATCAAGATGAAACCAAGAGTAAACCAGGACTAAACCAGGACTAAACCAAGACTAAACCAGGACTAAACAAGGACTAAACTACACTAAACCAGGACTAAATCAAGATGAAACCAAGAGTAAACCAGGACTAAACCAGGACTAAACCAAGACTAAACCAGGACTAAATCAAGATGAAACCAAGAGTAAACCAAGGACTAAACCAAGACTAAACCAGGACTAAATCAAGATGAAACCAAGAGTAAACCAGGACTAAGTAAATCAGGACTAAACAAAGAGAAAACCAGGACTAAACCAAGACTAAACCAAAACTAAACCTGGACTAAACCAAAACTAAACCAGGACTAAACAAAGAGTAAATCAGGACTAAACCAAGACTAATCCAGGACTGTTCACTGTGTCACTTCACTTTCTAAAACACTCGGGTACCCACGGGTTTCAGAATGATGAAAAGTTAGGACTGTTGCCATGGCGATTGAAATGTGATTTAATATAATTTTAATGGGAAAAAGCCCTCGGGATGTTCCATGTAACAGGAAGCTGAAACTCATGAATAGAAAATAAATGTGTCGAGATGGCGTCTTGAAAAGAAGTGAATTAAAGATCGGTCAAACATGCTTGAAAAAATAAATGATGAAAAGAAACAGCACTAACATCGCCATGGAGACAAGACGTCGGCTGGAAAGTTACAGTGTGGCTTTAAAACTAATGACTAATAAAAATATGAATGTGTTGATATAGACACAATAGTTCTAAGAAATATGTTCAGAAAAAGTTGTAACGGCAAATTTGAGGAAAAGTCAGTCAATGTGCTATTTCCCATAATTTGAGGGTGCTGATTCCAAATATTTTGTTTACCAAGCTGAGTTTTGAGTTTTAAGAATACTAATTAGTATAAAGCACAGACGTCAGGCTAATTAAATTAAAGTTCTCTTTATTTGAATGGATTTCATAACAAGTCCAGAAAACAAATA